CACCGCCCAGCCCTCGCAGGGTCTTGCCAGCCTCTCCAACCTCCCCGCGGGTCAGTGAGGAGAACGGCCTTCCGCTGCTGGTCCTGCCGCCGCCAGCGCCTTCGGTGGATGTGGACGACGGCGAGTTTCTTTTTGCGGAGCCGCTGCCTCCACCCCTGGAGTTTTCCAATAGCTTCGAAAAGCCAGAGTCGCCTCTCACGCCCGGGCCTCCCCACCCGCTGCCAGACCCTCCCTCCCCGGCTACCCCTCTACCTGCAGCCCCACCCCCGGCTGTGGCCGCAGCCCCTCCCACCCTGGATTCCACCGCATCCAGCCTGACCTCTTACGACAGCGAAGTGGCCACGCTGACCCAGGGGGCTCCTACGGCTCCTGGGGATACTCCTGCTCCAGGCCCGCCGGCTCCAGCAGCCCCAGCTCCCCCAGCCCCGCAGCCAGGCCCTGATCCTCCACCTGGCACGGATTCTGGAATTGAGGAGGTGGACAGTCGGAGCAGCAGCGATCACCCGCTGGAGACCATCAGCAGCGCGTCCACACTCAGCAGTTTGTCGGCCGAAGGAGGAGGCAACACTGGGGGCGGGGCTGGGGGCGGGGCCGGGGTGGCCAGTGGGACTGAGCTCCTGGACACCTACGTTGCCTACCTGGATGGCCAGGCCTTCGGGGGCAGTGGGACTCCTGGCCCACCATACCCCCCACAGCTCATGACTCCCTCCAAGCTCCGGGGCCGGGCGCTTGGGGCTGGTGGAAATTTGAGACCTGGTCCCAGTGGGGGACTCCGAGATCCTGTCACCCCCACCAGCCCTACTGTCTCTGTGACCGGAGCTGGAACAGATGGGCTACTGGCCTTGAGTGCTTGCTCCGGACCCTCAACGGCAGGTGTGGCAGGGGGTCCCGTGGCGGTTGAGCCAGAAGTCCCGCCTGTACCTTTGCCCACTGCCTCGTCCTTGCCTCGGAAGCTGCTACCGTGGGAGGAGGGTCCGGGACCCCCACCACCACCCCTGCCAGGGCCCCTGTCCCAGCCTCAGGCCTCTGCCTTGGCCACGGTCAAAGCCAGCATCATCAGCGAACTCAGCTCCAAGCTCCAGCAGTTTGGTGGGTCCTCTGCCGCGGGAGGAGCTCTGCCTTGGGCTCGGGGAGGCAGCGGGGGCAGCACAGACAGCCACCACGGAGGAGCCAGTTACATCCCAGAGAGGACCTCCTCCCTGCAGCGCCAGAGGTGAGCAGAGGCCTGTGGCTGGCGGGTGGCGGGTGGCTATGGCAGGTGCTGGAGCCCAAGGTCCCCAAAGAGCCTCGGAGTTACAGAAAACAAACTGGGCTGTTTTGCAGGGATCGGACCTCTAAGAAGCACACTTTCAGCTCCATGGTCACCATAACCCATGGCCCAAGATGAATGGCTACATGTTTTTATTTTGTTTTTGATGGTCCTGGGGATCAAACCTAGGGCTTCAGGCATGCTAAACAAGTGCTCACTACTGAGCCACAGCCACAGCCCCTCACTGGGGGAGTCTAGTCGGGGGCTCACACCCCAGCCTCTTACTGGGGGGCTGTAGGCAGGGGCTCAACTACTGAGCAACACCCCCAACCTTCGTATTATGTTTTGAGTCAGGACCTAATGAAGTTGCTTTGTCTGGCCTTGAACTCTGTTTAGAGTTCAAGAACCAAGTTTAGACTTGTAATCCTCCTGCCTCAACCTCCCCAGTAACTGGAATGACAGACCTACACCACCAAACCTAAGATACAAAATACTAACAACAACAAAAAATGCATTAAGCCGGGCGGTGGTGGCGCACGCCTTTAATCCCAGCACTCGGGAGGCAGAGCCAGGCGGATCTCTGTGAGTTCGAGGCCAGCCTGGTCTCCAAAGCGAGTACCAGGAAAGGCGCAAAGCTACACAGAGAAACCCTGTCTCTAAAAACCAAAAAAAAAAAAAAAAAAAAAAAAAAAAAAAAAAAAAAAAAAAAAAAAAAAAAAACAAAAAATGCATTAAGTGAAAGTGTCTGTGTGGCTCTTCACGGCACCAGGTGGATGACACCTCCCCGTAGAAGGAGGGGGCACAGTGCCTACTTGAAAGGGATTGGGACAGAATTTAACTTGAGCCATTGCTATCAACATGATGGAGGAGGGCTGGGCATCTTTGAAGAACCTAGCACCCACTAGATGGGAAGATAGGGGCCCGTGCTGTTGTTCCCCAAATACTTCTTAGTTGTGGTCTCTTTGAAGCTGTGACCCATGCATGCAATGGCTAGTCACGGGGAATGCACTTTTACTCAGGTGCAGTGAGGGGAGTTTGAAACTCTGTAGTGCACTGTAATTCTGTTCCCCGCTTAACATTCCAGTGTGGATTTAGCAGGCTTTGGAGATACGAACAGTTCACTCATTACTCTCCATGGGTGGATGGAGGATGCTGCATTAGTCATCATATGCTTGGATTAGATGTTTAGCACAGTAGTGTGCCCTCCTGGATAAGGTGAGGGGCCACAGTAGACAGTTCAAGACAGGTCCAGAGTCCATCTTGCTCCTAGTTTATTAAGGCTCCGATGCCACACCCCCAGCCCCTCACTGAGGGATTCTAAGCAAAGGCTCTACCACTGAGCCACACCCCAGCCCCTCACTTGGGGATTCTAGGCAGGGGCTCTACCACTGAGCCACATCCCCAGCCCCTCACTGGGGGATTCTAGGCAGGGGCTCTACCACTGAGCCCCACCCCAGCCCCTCACTGGGGGATTCTAGGCAGGGAAGGGCTCTACCACTGAGCCACACCTCCAGCTAGACAGTAGGCACAATAATTACAGCTACTCTCCCAAAACGACCCAAGAATTAGTTGGTTACAGTTCTTCTCTCAGAAAAGGTCACCAGACTGTGTGGGGGAAGAGTGACCTGCCCAGTGGGAATAGCCAGTTCAGGGCCTGCGGTGTGGCCGTGCTGAAGGGAGCTCAAGGGATGAGGGGAACCTTTTTCTCCCCTTGTTTCTTCTCTCTTTCATCTCCCTCTCTTCACCTCTCTCTCTCTGTTCTCTGTCCCCATCCCCTTCCATCTCTCTCCCCCCTGAATACCCACCCTCTTTTTCGTTTGTTTGTTTTGTTTTGTTTCTGTCTTCCTGTCTTCCACTCTGCTACGACTGACCATAACCAAAAAAGGCAGTATAGAGTAGTGGTTAAGAGCTCAGACTTTGGTGACTTCTAACTGGGCTCTGCCACTCCCTGGCTGTGTGTCCTTAGGCAAGTTTCTTAAGCTCTCTGTGCTCTTGATGGTAATAGTAACCTTCCACCAGGGCTGTTGTGGGGATGAAATTGAGATGTGATTCAGAAAGCCTTTAGAACAATGCCTGACACACACGAGCTGCAGCAAGTGGTGGCCGGTGTTATTGCTATCACTTAACGCTTCTTTTTCTTCCACCTCTCTTGGCTATCACCCTCTCCCTGTCCTATTTCTTGCCCTGTACTTCTCTCCTGCCATTCATCTGACCCTTCCTCACCACCACCCCATCTTCTCCATTTCTGCCCCTACCCTTGTGTCTCTCCCTCTGAATCATGACTTCTGCCTCTTTTTCACCCTTGCCCTCAACACTTCCCCCCAAACCCTTCTCCCCCACCCTTGGCCCCCTACCCCCACCCCTTGTCACATTCCAGGCTCTCCGAAGACTCCCAGACCTCTCTCCTCTCCAAACCCAGCAGCAGCATCTTTCAGAACTGGCCTAAACCCCCTCTGCCTCCACTCCCCACCGGATCTGGGGTCTCCTCTTCAACAGCTGCAGCCCCAGGAGCTATATCCCCTTCAGCCTCATCCGCCTCAGCTTCCACCCGACACCTGCAGGGCGTGGAATTTGAGATGCGGCCTCCGTTGCTCCGCCGGGCACCCAGCCCCTCGCTGTTGCCTGCCTCGGATCACAAGGTCAGCCCAGCGCCCAGGCCCTCTTCTTTGCCCATCCTGCCTTCAGGACCCCTCTACCCGGGCCTCTTCGACATCCGTAGCTCCCCGACCGGAGGGGCAGGAGGCTCGGCTGACCCCTTTGCTCCAGTCTTTGTGCCGCCACACCCCGGGATATCTGGGGGTCTCGGAGGAGCCTTGTCGGGGGCCTCTCGCTCCCTATCACCCACCCGCCTGCTCTCGTTACCCCCCGACAAGCCGTTCGGCGCCAAGCCTCTGGGGTTCTGGACCAAGTTTGACGTCGCCGATTGGCTGGAGTGGCTGGGCTTATCAGAGCACCGAGCCCAGTTCCTAGACCACGAGATTGATGGCTCCCACCTGCCCGCCTTGACCAAGGAGGACTATGTGGACCTGGGCGTGACCAGGGTGGGCCACCGTATGAACATTGACCGGGCTCTCAAATTTTTCCTGGAGAGGTGATGGCTGGCCTGGACGGACCAACCCGTCCATAGGACCCTTGAGCCCGCTGACCTCTTGACCTCTGACCCCTCTGACCATCATTCTCTCCCCACCCCCTCAGGGGGCCAGGGATTCTGCTAAAACTGTGCCCTGCCCCGTCTCCCCAGGCCTGACTGAAGTCCCCAAGTGGACCGGATACAGGCCAGACACTGGCACCTCACAAGAGGTGGGCAGCTGATACTAGACTGCGTGCGAGCGGAATAGAGGGTGGGGGGAGGTTAGAAAATGACACAGGGGTGCTGAGAAGGAGGGAAAGGTTGACTGGGAGGGGGAACAGACAGAGCCATAGAGGGTCAGCCCAGAGCCTGTCCGGATGGGGGGGAGCTGCCCCCCAGACCGCAGGGGAAGGTGTGCCCTCCGATTCCATCACCTGCGCCCCTCTAATAACCCTTTCCGCCTCTCCAGGCCCCTCAGCCTCCCCCTCTCCCTGGCACTCTCAGCTGCCCCGCCCCCTGCCTCTTGCACGCCGCCGGCTTCCCTCCCTGGCTGCAGTTTTGCACAAGCTTGCCCCCTGGCTGTCTTGCACACCGCTGGCCTGCAAGGCCCTCTCAGCTCCCTAACACGCCGCGTTCTTTTCTCTCTCAAGCGCCACGGCCTTTGCTAGCTTGCTCACTGCGTTCCTTTTCTTCTTGGGACGGGGGTGGGGGGGTTGCACCCTTTATTTCTCTGATCACCCTGGACCCATGCTGCAGACACACATGGGACTTTCCTTCCTCTCCTTCTCACAGACCCAGGCATACTCCTGTAGCCCCTGGTCACCCCTTTTTTTCTGCTCTGTCCTTGCACACTCGGAACACATTTACCTCCATTTCATACTTGGGGATACTTTCCTGTCCTGGCGCCCCCAAGCCCTTACTCTCCTTCTCATGATGGCACTCCTGTCCCCTGCCTTCTCCATTTTCTCTGACACATTTTCTCGCACATCCCTGGCACATTCACAGCCCAGGTCTCTCAGTCTCTCTCTCTCTCTCTCTCTCTCTCTCTCTCTCTGGTTATTCGAGACAGGGTTTCTCTGTGTAGCCCTGGCTGTCTCTGGTACTCACTCTGTAGCCCAGGCTGGCCTCAAACTCAGAGATCCACCTGCCTCTGCTTCCTGAGTGTTGGGATTAAAGGCGTGGGCCACTACCCCCGGCTACTTCTGTTCACTTTTATCCTTTCTTTTCTGTGCCCTCTTGCACACTTCCTCTTGTGCACTTACGCTCCCCAGCCCCTTTGCTTCTCCCCAGGAACTTTTTTTTTTTTTTAATGGTGCTCAGGTGCGGACTGTGCCTGCTGCGCTATTCTGGTCTTTCTAGGTAACTCTGCCCAGTTGCCCTGCAGAGCCTGGCCTCTTTTCAGTTTGCACACTCGCCTCTCTCTTACGCACTCTTAGCCAGTCCTCTCCTCCTCTTTTCCTGCACCTATCCTAGGTCTTTGCTCACCTCCTGCTGTTCCTAGAGAGAGGAGACCCTGCGCGTGCACGCTGGCTCCCTGCTCACTAGGCTGTCACTCAGACTATCCATCCGTCTGTCTGTCCATTTTGCACGAAGATCCCCTCTTCCCCTAACCCTTTTTTCTCTCCCAGATTACTCTCCTCCAACCTTCCAGCATGGCTCCTCCCTCCCCGCACGTTCCCCCTTCCCTGCTTCTGGGGCTTAGGAATTTAAAGCCACCTCTCCTCCCCTAGGTAGCCCCCTCCCCTGCTGTGGGTAAAGGGGGAAGGGCATCGCCCTCAGGTTCCCCACCGTGTTCAGCTGCCAAAGAAGGGAGCTCCCCTCCCCCCAGCCCATTCCCTAAAGCTGCCCCCAGGCCCGCCAGGGGCGCTCCGTCCACGAGGGGAGGGCCAGCCCCCTCCCCTCACCACGTCAGGGAAACGCAGGGAACCTTGTGGGAGGGTCGCGGGAGGGGGGAGGGGTGGCAAGGACTGGAGTGGAGGTGGCGCTGGGCCCCTACCCGCCCCCTCCCCCTAGTCGGATGCCCCCCGTCCGCAGGGGGCCTACGCGGCGCCTGTCTATCAAGGGCTTGTTAATTCCGGATGGGTGCCGCGGGGTTGGGGAGGGAGTAGGGGGTGGGATCGGGGGTGGAAGGAGTGGGGAGAGGGAAGGGGGAGGGCCTGAATGGGGGAGCGGGGTGGAGAGGAGAGACGAAGCAAAAAGAAACAATAGCAAAAGAAAAAAACTATACAAATCAAAATAAAAATAAAAAACCCTAGAACACACACAAATCCTAACGGGGGAAAAAAAATCCTGAAATAAAAGCCCTAGAACTGTCTTCCAAGGGGGCGGGAGGGGACGAGAAAGGAGTTGGGTTCCTCTTGCAGGATCGCAGGGATGGGGTGTGACCTGGAGGCAGAAGACAGTGGAGGTCCGCCCCGCCCCCCACGCCCAACAGGACTTTGCTGAGAGAAATGGCTTTTGTATCAGGTCATTCTTTATAATTAAACTCACAGTATCCACCCCCTCGAGCCGGCCCCGCCTCCTTCCTAGGGAGGCCACGCCCCTTGGATTCGCCGGGTCTGGGGGCGGGGCGCAGGTGGGACCCGCCCCCGCCACGCGTCAATCTTCCTCGGACGGCTCCGCCCCCAGAGCCTCGAGCATTCGCCGTCGGACCAGGGATCGGCGCAGGTGAAGGCGGTAGTCGCCCAGCAGCAGATCGTCGTGGCGCACGAGTGGGTGCGCGGTTCCGCGGAGGCTGAGTCCCGAGCGCAGCAGGCGCGAGCGCGTCTGGAAGTCTGTGACCGTGATGAGCCACCTGCGGGCGCGGCGAATACCGAGGGACGTCGCTAGGATTTCGCCCTGTCCGCCTTCGCTCGCGGACGCCGCTGCGGTCTCTGCTGCTCGGTATCTCTTTCGCCTCACCAAGGATGCTCCAGACCCGGCCTCGCTGCTGTCCTTATCGGACTCAGCCAGAGATGCCACTCAGGCCAGGACCCGCCCCTCTGGGTGGCTCTGGGCCTCATACTTCACTGACGCCCTCACCTTCACTTCACCTTCTCTAGGCTTCAGTCTTTCGGTTGCTCTCAGCTCCACCCCTCACTCTCCTCCTTACTCTAACCCTACCCACCAGCCTCCTACTCTAGGCCCCGCCCCTCCTTCCCCACCTCACTCGCGCGGGCTCCGCCTCCCAGTTCCGTTTGCTAAGACCCGCTGCTTGGCTACACCCCTCCCAATTCTATCCGTCGTATGCTCACCCTCGACCACGCCCATGCATGGACTCACCTGTCCCTGCGGCCCGCGGTCCCGCAGATGACATTCATGTTCTCATACCGGATGCTGCTCAAGCGCCCACTCTCCAGGGCCCCGGGCAGCTCGGCCTCCAGAGCCTCCAGCACCTCTAGGTGCGTGAAATCCTCCTGCGTGTGGGTGCATACAGCTTCAGCTCTTTTCTCCCCGGTTGGAGCCTGGCCCAGACTCCACCTGCAGAACACTAGGTTCTGTCACTCTTGTCAAAGGGGACACCACAGGTGTCTCTCGGGTGAGAAGGCATCTGCCACTCGAGGTCATTCTCAAAAACCAGAATGATTACAATTTCACCACCCTACAGGAAAATTCTCCCAGAAACCAGCCATGGTTTAAGATGATGCCTTAACGTTCTGGAAGATTCTCGCCAGAATTTGGACCTATGATCTCATGTTAAGGTGGTGCAGTTATCAGAAGGATCAGAGGAGGTTGTTTCAGGAGATGTGTTGATCACCGTGCCAAAGGGGAGAAACAGTTGTCCAAGCATATGAAACCCATGAGGATGGGCTGGCGGTACAGCTCAGTGGTGAAGGCGCTTTGATGGCTTGAGTTCAATCCCCAGAACCCACACAAAGGTGGGGAGAGAGAACTGAGCTGTCCTCTGACCTCCACCTGTCAGACAGGTGTGTCTGCAGGAAAGGCCGAATGGCCGCCTCCTACCCATGTACTAACCAGGCCTGCTTAGCTTCCGAGCTCAAAAGATCTGCTGTGCCCAGGGTGGTATGGTGGTACACTGGGGTGCCTCCCTCAAAGGCACAAAGGAAAGGAGAAACAGGGTGGGGACTTGTCCCCAAGAAATGAGGACAGCAACCCCCATGACAGAGTAAAGTCACATGGACACCCAAAGAGGTGCCTAGGACACAGTAGGTGCCTCTTACTGTCAGACACAAACAGATATGGTCGTGTGTGTGTGTGCACGTGTGCACATATGCTCTGTTGGAAACAGAGCTCAGGTAGCCCAGGCTAGCCTTGAACTCACTGTGTAACTGAGGCTGACCTCGAACTCCTGCTCCTCCCAACTTGGCCTCTAGAGTGCTGGGATACTGGACCATGTCTGGCCCTTAACCTGAACTTTAACACTGCCCACCTCAGTTCTGACCAGTTGATCCTCTCACTACCCAAACCAAACTGTGCAAAGAGCTGATGGCCTCTCACCGAAGTCTCCATGCAGAGGCAGAGGGGCTGGGCAGAGGGCGGTGCTGAAAACTTTCGGATGCATGGGAGCTCCCGATCCAGTGCCTCGTATTCTGAGATGACCTGCCGAAGGTACTGCTTTCTGGGGGAGGGGGAGCAAGGCAAGGCAAGGGACCTCTGAGGTCAGGGGCTGCTGGTGTCACCTCTGCAAGAGCTGAAGTCAGAGCTCATGGAGCTAGGGGGGTACTCACGAGGATTTGATGGGTCTGCCCAGGCTCCTAGCCATGGGCTCCTCTATAGCCTCCAGATCCACAAGGATGGAGCCTAGGGACAAGAGAACCCAGTGTCACCGGCCAAGGGCCCTTGGCAGCCATGACTCCCTTCAGAAGAGAATCACCCAGCAGTGTGCACACCGCCTCCGAAAGCTAGATCTCAGAGGCCGGTCCCTGAGATACCATCTGGAAGCTACAAAATCCACCCTTCCACTCTGGCTCTGAGATTCCAGATTCCTCATTAGGCTCAGCCTGAAGGAGCCAGCAAGAGGAAATACCACTCTGCCCAGAATTAATACCAAAATCCACCCTGCTGGTTGGAATTTGACTGATAAGTTCCTCACATGTGACTCCTTGTCAACCTTATCATTAGCTAATGGGCCTCTCTTTTCCCCTGGCTAGTGATTGACACACATGACCTATTTCCCTCTTTACTTCAACCCTAGGGGTTGTACAGGCACAAGGGTGTCTAGCCTCCCCGACCAGCTCCTTTGTGGCCTGGCAACCAAGTTCTCACCAACGGTGTGAGCAGGAGTGAGCCATCTACATAAGAGATTGTCTACCAGGCGTGGTAGCACACACACCTGTCACTGCAGCACTAGGAAGGCTGTGGCAGAGGTTTGCCATAAGCTAAAGGCAGTTCGGTCTACACAGTGACTGTGGGGTCAACCTGGGCTTCACAGGAAAGGGGGGGGATGGAGGAAGACGAGGGGGAGAAGGAAGAAGAGGAAGGAGGCAGAGAGAGAAGGAAGGAAGGAAGGAAGGAAGGAAGGAAGGAAGGAAGGGAACTTTCTGATGTGTGGCTCCTTCCTTCAGATGGGCTGGAATGTGAATGGAGTAGTAACCCAGTTTCAACCATGCTGGGATATGCTGAGCAACAATATAGAAGGATCCTGGGCCTATGAGCTGTCTTGCAGAGTTCAAGCATCCCACAACACACTCTGAGACAAATTTAGGTCTGCCTCCTTTATGTTATTGTGTTTCAATGCAGAAGAGAGAAGAGTTGCCCCTGACAAGGCTGTAGGATGCTCTTCTTGGAAGAAACAATTACCCTTGACAGCAACTCCAGACAGGGCCACTAGGGCAAGACCCACTGAGATGAGAGCACTGTGAGATTATGTCATAGCAGGGACCAGACACATAGAAACATAGAAACTGCTGGGTGGTGGTGGCATGCACCTTTAATCCCAGCACTTGGGAAGCAGAGGCAGGCAGATCTCTGAGTTCATGGCTACCCTGGTCTACAGAGGAAGTTCCAGCACAGCCAGGACTACATAGAGAAACCCTGTCTCGAAAACCAAAAACAAAACAAAACAAAAAACATAGAAACTACATAAATGATAGAACAGCCCCTCCTGGCTCAGAGCTGATGGCTGTATCTCACCTCAGCACCCTGTGCTTGAAGACCCCACATGCTCCATCTTGAATTTGAAATAAAACACTTTGTGCACATGTACTCTCCCAAATGTAGTGTGAGGACCTTGTTTAAAGGCAGCGTTCTAATGCCCAGCCCAAGATTAGAACCAGCATTTTGTTGTTGTTGTTGTGTTGCTGTGATTGTTTTTCAAGACAGGGGCTATATAGCACTCACTGGCTGACCTGGAACTCAGAGACCCACCTTCCTCAGCCTCCCGATTACTGGGATTAAAGGAGTGGGCCAGCATGCCCAGCTACTTCTGTTCACTTTTATCTTTTCTTTCCTTTCTTTCCACCACCACCCCAGCTCAGAATGTGCATTTTTAAGAAGATCCCTGACTTACTGCCTCTTTCCCATCTTCTGGCTCTGTCATACTTCAAATACAGAAGTTTTCTGGAATGTATCACTGTAATGTGTCAAGTGATTCATTGATGGTGCTAGGAATCAAACCTGGGGCCTTTCAAAATGCTAGGCAGATGCTCTACCACTAAGACAAGACCCCAGACCCTCACTGGGGTTTCTAGGCCAGCGGCTTCCTGGTAATGTACATGTCTGATCATGTCATGCCACCTTGTTACATGTTGCTTCCTCCCTGAGAATGCTGCAGAAAGTCTCCCATGTACACACACTCTGCTTCATTCTTCATACAGGCACAATTACTTAACTAATTCCACATATTATACAATTGGTTGTCAACACATTTCTGAGCAGTGTAAAGGCCATTTACTCAACTGTGTGGTTTTTTTGTTTTGTTTTGTTAGTTTTTCGAGACAGGGTTTCTCTGTGTAGCCTTGCGCCTTTCCTGGAACTCACTTGGTAGCCCAGGCTGGCCTCGAATTCACAGAGATCCGCCTGGCTCTGCCTCCCGAGTGCTGGGATTAAAGGCGTGCGCCACCACCGCCCGTCAACTGTGTGTTTAGTACATGTCCGTGTGTGTGGAGGTCAGAGGTGAACGTCAGGTGCTATTCCTCAGGCACTGTGTCCACTTTTGTTTTGAGACAGAATCGCTCACAGGCCAGGAGCTCGCCAAGTTGACTAGGCAGGCCAGTCCACGAGCCCCAGGGACCTGCCTGTCTCTGCCTGTGCAGTGCTGGGATTCCAAGTGTGCACCAACATACCTGCTTTGTTTTTGGAATAGTTGTGTTATTTTCTCTTTTTTCTGGAGCTGAGGACTGAACCCAGGGCCTTGTACTTGCTAGGAAGCGCTCTACCACTGAGCTAAATCCCCAACCTCGAAAGATTTATTTTCATTTTTATTTGTGTCTCTCTGTGTATCCCACACGTGTGTGAGTGCCTGCAGAGGCTGGAGGAGGGCACCCGATCTTCTGGAGCTGGAATAATAAGTGGTTGCTAGCTACCTGCTGTGAGTCCTGGGAACCAAACTCGGGTCCTCTGCGAGAACGGCTGAGCTATCTCTCCTGCCCATTTGTTTTGTCTCGTGGGTTCTGGGGATTGGATTTAGGCCCTTTATGCTAGCATGACAAGTGCTTTGCTCACTGAGCCATCCACAGCCCTTTCGATGGTGTTTAAAGGCAGGGCCTCAATCTACAGCCCAGGTTGTCTTGAACTCATTATGTGCTGCGGGCCGCAGGAATATATCATAATATGGCAAAGTCACTACCTGGAGGAATCAGGGAGTTCCTCCAGAGGAAGCCAAATCCCAAGGAGTTTTTGGTGTTACTTGGCTTGTTATATATCAGCTGTATTCTGTTATGAAAATCATGTGTGCCTTCGAGGTTTTCCCAATTGACTTTCCCCTAAGAAGGGCTAATGTGTGTGGACTGATTACTCTCTGGACATACACATTCCAGGTATTTGGAGAACAGCCTCAGGAAAGGCTTTCTCTGGAATCAGATTACCTCCCTTGGCCACTTTCAAGGACTACAGGAAACACCACCCAGGTGGGCGCCCAACTTCTGAGGATAACAATAACAGCCCACGTGCAAGTCTCCTGACTTAAAATCCACAAGGAGACACCGCCCAGGTGGGCCCCAACTTTCAAGGACTAACAGTGATAGCAGCCCACATACAAGTCTCTTGACTTAAAGTAAATTCCACAAGGGGACACCGCCTAGGTCAGGTGGACATTAAGTAATAGCTTTATACAATTTAGCTCAGGCCCGTCTTTCTTACAGCCTTACTAACTTTAGACCTCTAACTCCTTACCTAACCACTTCTAGGAATATTTAGATTTTTAACATTCTTTACCAAACACATTTTAGACTATAGTTGTGCACATAAGATCCCTCTTAGATATTACCCGAATTTAGCCTTTAGTCAATTCATTAGTCACTTCCCCTTTGGGTCGCAAATGGTAATTAACAACTATTGCCCCTCTTTGTGATCCTTATCATCCCTCCATTTGATCCTGATAGGGGACAATCACTGCCTGAGGAAGTTCAGGCTGGGTGTCCTGGGTGGAGGGGAGGATTGTGATTTTTGGGGGGATATATAACTGTAAAGCGAGGGCCGAGGGAAGGATTAAAGCGAATGGACCAAAGAACTCTGCCTGCATAGATTGATTTGCCGACTTTAAAGAACAGATTCTCAGCTGGTTGATAGATTCTTCCCCGGACCCTGGAAAGGAGACTATTAGGGGCTGAACCCCAATAGTCCCCGATAATTATGTAGCCCCGGCTGGCCTTGAACTCATGGCAATCCTCCTGCCTCCACCTCTTGAGTGCTAGGATGGTAGGTGTACAACACCATACCCAGTCAGTCCACAGCCTCAATGTGTTTTATTGTTGTTGTTTTTTAATATTTATTTTTAATTTTGTGTGACATACCCATGGAGGCCAGAAGAGGGCGTCAGATCCTCTGGAGCTAGAGGTGGAGGTGGTTGTGAGGCACCCAGCATGAGTGATGGAAACTGAACTTGGGTCCTTGTCAAGAGCAGCATGCACATCTTTCCAGCCTCAGACTTGGTGTTCTTGCCCTAGCATCCAGCAAAATGCCAAGTGCAGAGATGGCCCCAGATGAGTGCTGACTGGGAAAGTCCCAGGAGACATGAGCTGCAGCCCTTGTGTGAACTGCTTGAGTCCCAACTCAGCAAAGCAACTGGAAACTAACAAAAACAAGCAAATAGATCTGGACAGAGGTTGGGGATTTATGTCCAGATTTAGACATAAGAATCTAAATATGTACTACACAAGGGAATCTCCTGGAAGAATTGTGGATTTTGTCAGCTGTCACTATGACATGGTGGATATGCATCCTTAAAAATTCCTAGCAGAGCCGGGCGGTGGTGGTGCACGCCTTTAATCCCAGCACTCGGGAGGCAGAGCCAGGCGGATCTCTGTGAGTTCGAGGCCAGCCTGGGCTACCAAGTGAGTTCCAGGAAAGGCACAAAGCTACACAGAGAAACCCTGTCTCGAAAAACCAAAAAAAAAAAAAAAAAAAAAAAAAAAATTCCTAGCAGTTGGAATGGGACTATGGGGATGGCTCAGTCAGTAATGTGCTCACCTTGTGTTAGCTTTGCTTTTAATCGTCTACTTGACACAATCTGGAATCGTCTCGGAAGAGTCCCAGTGAGGGACTGTCCGGATCAGGGTGTTCTGTGGGCGTGTCTGGAGGATGATTGTGTTAACAGAAGTGAGTGCACACCCACTGTGGGCAGCATTGCTCTCTGGGCACAG